AAGCTAGGTGCATTTTTACTGAATTACATGTTCAGAGGTATAAATAACTTTTTCTGCATACCTAACAGCTACACCAAACATGGCTCCACCTTCAGAAATCTTCCTTTTAACTGTTGCTTTGGCTTTTCCTTTAATACTATTTAAAACCAAACCATAACGTTTCCTTTCATGAGGTTCAAACGCATCAGTGTCATGAGTGACACAGTTCCCATCAACTTCTACTATTTGTGAATCAGCCCCATAAGCAGAATATCTAAACATCTCCATTTGAATAAAACGTTTAAACGGCGAAGAAATGGAATTATTCCATTGTTCAATAGCTAAAACAGCTGCATCATTAATTCGGCTATCGGTAATATAATCATTTATATTCCATAAACCAATAGCATTTAGCACCTCTTGTACCGTAACTCCATCGATCCATGTATTAGTTGGTTGACTCAATACGGTTCCAATCTGAGCTCCCGTATTATCAAACCAATTGACGCTCACTTGAGATAAACTAATAATCGCGGCGATTGATACCGCAGCCGGATTGTTCTGATAAGTGAACATCGTAAATAAATAATTATTTGCATAGTTAGCCACCGAAGCAACTGTCGCGTCTTTAAAAGTAAACGGAGGGAAAGTTATGGTAACACAGTTTCCGGTTAGATCCGTCAAAATATGACCCTTAGATCGTAAATCATCGAATCTTTCTTGAATAATATATTTGATGTAATTGACAGTTATTGAACTGCCATCAATCATGCCTTTAAAGGCAGTCTCATCAAATAAAAAACCGTTGACGGTGTCCCAGTCTGCTGGTGTAACCATGTAGGGAGCAACTTCTCGCCCTAAAACTCCCCAAATACCTCTAATTAAGAACCGCTTACAAAGTAAGTCCTGCGAGACTAAACGGATCTTTGAGGTCAGTCTTTCCTACTTGGTTAATGATGATTCCTGTTCTTTTGGGAGTCTGGATTTCAACATTATTAAGAGCGCAAAGATAATTAATATTATCCTGTTCAAATTTAGTTGCAGATGCTCTTAATTTAACAGCCAGTCCTAAATCGATGCCACCACGAAATTTACGGCAATTATCAGTTACACTGGCATCAATCACTGCTCTAGTTTGATTAGCTGAATCTTGTTCAACATAATCCGAAATTTTATCGTAATAAAGTTCACTAATACGATTGGTCAAACTATGATCAAGTTCCACTAAAATATCACCCCTCACAGTGGAATCGAAATTATGAAAAAATTTCTGAGCTAACTTCTCTCCTTCTTCGATAATCTCATCTTCACCTAATTGTTGGTTCTGCTTAAGTCTTGCCTTGATACTTTCTTGGTCAGCTATGGCAGCCTGCCGATTCGTTAAGGAACCATAATTCTTAACAGGACTTCTTCCACGCCTACCCGAACTTCCGTCTCTCAAAGGAACTTCGTTTGCGATTTGTTCTTCAGACATAGTTGAAAGCGTCGATGCGAAAACCCGCTGAGGTTGATTGCGATCCTAAGATGCAATAACAAACACTCCAAA